TTTTTTTGTGGAATGAATGCATTTTATCCCTATTATGCAGAATTGATAACTGAGACTTTGCAAGATGACACAGCTTGTCCAATGTCAGTCACTTTGTAAACACAAAAGCTGGGATTCAAATCCAACTTCATCTGACAAAAAGTATAAGTTCTTAACCTTGATATATACAGTTATTCTAGAGAAAAACAAATACTTTTCTTTGTCTTATGTTTATACTTACCTCTAAAGTTATTGCTCTGAGGCCAGAGTACATTAAGCATTAATTAATATTGCATTTTTTTTTTAGCTCACCATCTTTAGCTTTTCTGAAAAATGACAATGAAACAAAGCCCAGAACAGACCTAGCCCCTGATTGCCAGGATCATAAAAGGGCGGGACAGGTACAGTGCCTTTAAACAAACAAAGCCTAGAATCTCCCTCTGACTTCTGTTTCTCAAACATGGTTCTGGGACCCTCTTTCCTAATTATAACATATGGGTGTGGCACAAGTACTCGGGACCCAAACCTGGACTGTGCTAAATCTATCACAGTCTACTATTTCACAGATCTGGAAATGTTTTCTATTTTCCAGTTGCAATAAACACTTCTGATTGAGAGTTCAGTAAATCCTTTTGATTATTTGTGGGTCTACTCATTTTGCTAATTGTCACTAATATATTCTTTTGTAAAGTGTGTTTCTTGACACACCCAGCCTTTGGAGAGCTTGTGAAGGGAATGTGAAGGCAAAAAAGTAAAATGCAAAAAATTAATTTGTCCTAAAATTTGGGATTGTAGGAAATGTGCTATGTATGTTTACAACGAGCAAAACGGAATTTCCCGTTGTACTACAGTGAGGAGAGGAGAAGGGGAGCAATAGAAGAAGAGCAACTCATACAGCAACATCAAATAATGAAAGATCAGGAGGCTTTCTTCAAACACCAGGTAGTCCAACACCTCAGTGAAAGAACTGTTTTAAATGGAATAGTAGAACATGATTATCAAATTCCATTTAAAATATTCCATCATTTTCTCCTGTTCTGTAACATATCTGATATGTTATATACTTATATACTGCTGGATTAAAACTTAGGCAGTGTTCAAGATTTCAACTATAACAAATAAGACTGGGATGGATATCCATGTAGTGGAATACTTGCATGTATCATTAATTTTTTGCCCTCAAAGGACTGAATTTTAAAGGTGGAATTGCTAGGTTTTATTGCTTTATCTTTGATTTATGATAAAATATAAATCTAGTCAAAACTTTTACCTTTCAAATTCATGGTCTATTTTAATCGAGCAAGGACAGAATGGCACCATTATATTTATTTGCTCTATCCAGATTTCTGTGATCACTATAATTGATCCGATTGCCCTCTCCTGATTTTGATGAATTCTTTCATGCCTTCTTAGGAGCTATGTAGTGATGGTGCCTAAAGTCCAAGAATAGGAAATAAAAAACCTCCCTAACCCACTTTTCTAAATCTCTGAAGACATTAGAAAATACCATTGCCTCCAAATAGGTTTCTTTCATGGTTGGATTAAATGAATATCATAATGTTAAAATTTTTAAAGACTCTATTCCAATTTGCAATTAAAATGTAAAAAAAAATGTTTTATGATAGATTAACAGTCTGGCTGCTAGAGAACAGAATCAGAAAAATGCTGCCTATAATCTTGGAGTTGCTGAAGCCATAAGAAGTCACAAGAATGAGAAACCTGAATTTTATGTAAGAGTCCTTTTGAAATTTCTGTTGCTAGCAGCAGCTACCCCAACTGTCTTCAGATCCACTCCCTGTATTGCAGGTTTGCGCCTTTTAAAATATTTTTCGGTGCTGGGGATTGAACTCAGAGCCTCCCCACATGCTGGGCAAGTATTCTACCACTCAGCCACAACTTCAGGCCTGTTGTGACTTTTTTTTTTTTTAAAGTGACAGAGTTGAAAAGTGGGCTCCATAGGCCTAGGACGGGTGCTTCCCAGTGTCTGTCTCCACATCATCCCCAGTCACAGTAGAGTAACTACTAGTAACTGCAGTTCTTGTTAATTATAGCCATTCTCAATCAGGTCCTAGGACAGGTGTTGGGGGGAGTACACTGAAGTCCAGCCCTGGAAGCTAAAGAGAAAACCAGCATCATGACAGGATTGCTGGAAATGTAAAATCCAGGGCCTTATACCAGACTTCCAGAATGGGGATCTACATTAGAATATCTGTGTGTACATTAAAGTTTGAGAAGCCAGCTTCAGATGGAAGAAGCCACTTGCTTCACTGTTGATTTGCTTTTAATCATGTTGTGCCTACTTTCATCTCTGCCTGATTCTTTCTCTTTTTATATCACTATCTAGGTAGTCTGACACTCTGCACACAAATCTAATCAGATATATTTTCTTTATCCAAGATTTATGGAACTCCTATGGGCCAGCCACTGTGCTGGCAGCTAGGAATACAAGTTCCCTTTTCTAAAGAGGTCTCAGTCTAGTAGGAGAGAAAAGGGACTAAAAGAGAAAAGAGTGTGATATAATAACTGCTGTAATACATCTTTGAAAATGGCTTCTATGAGTAACAGGTGAGTCACTTAGTGTAGCCCAGAGATCTGGGAAGACTCCTGGCATATAAGAGTTAGGTAAAGATGTAAGTGGAGGAAGAACATTTCAGGCAGGGGCAGCAAGGAGGGAGGGGAGAGAGCATGGGGCTTTTGACATTTAGCTATGATCTCTCTTGCTTCCTATATATAAATTCCAGATTACATTTATTAATGCCCACTTTGTAGCTCCTCTATGGTATATCTTTAGATATCTTAAAAAGAACAGAACAGCACTGTTGATCCCCTCCTCAACCTGTTCTTTGCTTCTCCAGTTGGTAAGTGGCATCCCTAGCCAGCCAGATGCTCAGGAGTGATCTCAGGTTCCCCTTTCTTTGTCTCCCACGTCTGAGCATCTTCAAGTCCAGCTGCTTTTTTTACCTTTTAAATGTACCCAGTACCTGTTCAGATCTGTTCATCTTCCAGAAAAGCATCGTTTGCATATCAATGGTTTGCATATGTTTTAGTGTATCCCCAAGAGATCAGGATTGGAAGCTTGGTCCCCAGCATGGCAATGTTGAGAATTGGTAGGCCTGGTGGGAATTGGTCACTGGGACACTGTCCTTGAAAGGAATTAAGGTAGTACTCATGGGACCTTGAGTTAATTCTCATATGAACACTTTGTTATAAAAGAGCTAGGCTGACTTCTAAGTTGCTCTCTGGCTCCTGTCTTGTCATGTGATCCCTCCCTCTTCCTGTCTGTGCTCCTACTGTGAGGTGAAATAGCCAGGTAGGACATGCCAGAGCCAGAATCATGCCATTTGGACTTCCCACCTTCAAAACTGTGAGCTAAACAAATTTCTTTAAACAACCCACAAAACACAAATCTCTTCATCTTTTATATTGCCACCCCAGTCAAAGACACATCATAAGGTTCAGCTTCTTCAGTTGGTCTCTCCTTGGACTCATGTCTTGCATCTTCTTCTCCTACCATCTGTTCTTCACACAGCAGCCAAAATGATCTTTTACAATTCTTAACCAAAACATACCACTCTCCTCTAGGAATTTAATTCCTCTATGGAATCCTACTGAATTGAAATGAAAGCTGAACTTGCCTTGCTCTATCAGACCCTGCCAGTGTCCCTGCCTTCCTCCAACTCTACTTGCCTATTTTCACTTCTTCCTCCCTGTGCCTCAGCCACATAGCCCTCCCTTCTACTCATTGAACATGCCTCACTTGTTTCCATCTGATGTCTTCACACTTGCTGTTCCTTCTTTATGGGACACAGATCCCACTGATATTTACAGTGGAGGTGATTCAGTCTTCTACAAGGAAAAGCCTTCTCTAGTAAACAACGGATCTAATCCTATTCCCACCTAGTCACTTGCTAGGATAAAGGCTATATAACACTTATTACTACCATAAATTAGTTGAAAAACTGTTTACTTGTTAATGTTTACTTGTCTCTGGCACCTGAATGCAGGCTGGATGAACCTGAGGATCTCAGAACTCTGTCATTGTTGGAAAGTCTAGAATAGCTGGGCCCATCGTAGATAGTTGGTGCTCTCTTTACACCACCTCTGTCTGCTTGCTCATGCTTTTAAAGGTGCTCAGAATTCTTTCTTCTGTTCCTCTGAACTTTCTAAGGAGTTGCTCAGGAACCACTTCATGGTACTCTTTTTTATCTCTGTCTCAGAAATGGGGCTCTGAGCTCAATTAGCTCAGCTTGGTTATCGAATGTGCTCATGTTGTTATGTGGGTTCCTTACATGTTAGCTGGCATATTAGAAAGTAAGAAATACTTTCTCATTAATTTGTATTCTTCTGAATCATTAATTTTATTTTTCTGTGTTCTAGGATGAATAAATTGCTTTTCTTTCATTCTAGAAATCCTTCCTGTTTGATAAACGGCCACTTAGTCCTGAGATTAATGCTATTAAGCAAGAGGAATATTCCCAAAGTCTCTTGAGACAAATGGCTAACAGACGGGAAAAGGAAATAAAGCAAAGACAAAACAGAGAGTTGATGGACCACCTAGAACAAGTACAGCTCACAGAGGAGTGAGTCTAGCCAGACGTCCTCTGTGAAATGGATTCAGAATTTCTGTGTGAATTTTTATGTAAGATTGAACCAGCATTGACAGTTTTATTAGCACCACTATAACCAATTGAGCAACAAACTAATCCAGTTAGCAGTCAATACCCTCATTAGAATTAGATGGTATTCTAATTATAATAATGAAAGATCCATCATTATGATTATAATAATGATTGCCAATCTATAATTATTATAGAGTATCATTTTATATGTTTTTTGCTCACCAATACTAGGGTGTCCCATGGAAACTGAGTGAAGAAATGTATGGGAACCCAGGAGGGAATGGAACCAGGGACTGAAAAGGCCTGTACAGTGGCCTTCTCTCTGCTTACACACAGATACTTAGTTGACATACTCTTTTTTTTTTTTTTTTCCAGCTCAGACTTGGAGAATGTTAGTTTCAATTTCAAACTTCAGGAAAGAGATCTGATTGGTCTTAATTACCTGAGGCCTTGGATAGGGTTAGGTATATGGAGTTCATATGTGCCTAAACAGGGGAGCGAGGCCCATATTTCTGTTACTAAAGTCAGGAGAGCAATTGACTGAAAAGTATATTCTATAAATGTTCTATAATGTTCCATTGTACTCACTTAATAGATCATATGTGTTTCCTGAAGTTATTATTTACAATAGGGATTTCTTTCCTTAAAAAGGACTTTTACAATAAATCAGTTGATAGGTGAATAGTCCCTTACTGCTTTCATATCTAGATTTTTTAAAGAATTGGCAGGGTAGTATAGAAGGGGGGCTGCTGTTTCAGTAGTATTTGGACAATATGGTTCTATACCCTGCTTATACCTATCCTATCTGTCCTGTGTTTACATGATGCCCACTTGCCTATGGATTTGAACTACTTTTTCTTTTTCTTTCTTTCTTTTTTTTTTTGCAGTTATAGATAGACAGATGCCTTTATTTGTTCAGTTTTTTTTTAAGAGAGAGTGAGAGAGGAGAGAGAGAGAGAGAGAGAGAGAGAGAGAGAGAGAGAGAGAGAATTTTTTAATATTTATTTTTTAGTTCTCGGCGGACACAACATCTTTG